GTTTGAGTGAGACTTGGGTTTTCCTTTTTGAAATTTCAAAGTCTATTGTGTTTGCATATCTATGAATACAATTCTACTCTTTCATCTCTCCCCCAGATAAAAATGAACCTAAAACAAAAAAAAACAAAAAAAACACTCAATACAGATGGGGAAAAAAGGAGAAGTTTCAAATCTGGGTCTTTCCTTTCTCTTCTGCTTCCCACTGGTTTTTCCTTCTAGTCAAATAATGCTTTTAAAGCTCCTTTTTTTTTTAAGTAAACCCAACTCGACTTCACCTTTAAGTAAACCCAGTTTCATCACATTTGTCGACACACGCTCAATCGCTCCACCCATTCACTCACTTCCAGAATTAACAAACTCGCATGCTTAAAACTCAGGCACTCTATGTGTGTAGGGATGGCAACTCAACCCGGATCTGACGGGGTTCCGACCCGACCCGATCCGATCGGGTCGGATTTTTTTAAAAAAAAAATTCGGGTTCGGGTCGGGTCGGGTCGGGTTTAGGGTGAAAAAAATCCGACCTGACCCGACCCGAAAAATATATATAATTTTATCCTATATATTTAGGGATAATTACAATAATGTCCCTTCATATATAATTTTTTTTCAATTAAGTCATTGTTTTCATTGAATAAATTTTTTTATTATTATTATTTCAGGTCGGGTCGGGTTTCTAAGTCATATATTCGGGTCGGGTCGAGTCGGGTGAAACCTTAATTTCGTCGGGTCGGGTCGGGTCACGGGTGAAAAACCCTTTCTTCTCGGGTCGGGTCGGGTGGCCCAAAAACCCGACCCGACCCATTGCCATCCCTATATGTGTGTCCAACTAACTTCCGCCTTTTCTTATTTTTTTTTACTTAATATTAAAATAAGTATTTAAACTATATCGTGTTTTGGAACATGTGTCTAAATTTTTTTTTATCTCATTCTGATATCTAATGTTACAAACAATATCATTTTAAGTACTTGAGGCGTCAAAAATGTTAATTTATCCGTTAAGTGACACATGTCACAATATGATGATTTTAACTTTTATTTTTTTAAACAATATTATTATATTTATAAAAAAGAACCCTAATTTTTCTTAAATTATAAAAAAACCCACTAAAATCCCTTAATCATAACCTTAACTAGTCGTCGTCGCTCTTTCCAGCTACGACCATCGTAGCCAATGTAATCCCTATCATTCTCCTAGTCATACGTCGATGTAGTTGTCGTTAATTGGCTGTCAGAATCGCATGGGATCGCGATTTTCATCCTATGGTTTGTGGGTTCGATCAGTTACATTTTCATAGGAGTTTTTGTCGACGGGGGAGGTGAGATCTGGGGGAGCTTCGTAGACGACAAAGAGCGAGGGTCGACGTGGATTCAGGTGTTGAAATGAATGTTTTCAAAGTTTTTGGGTTATTTCAAAATGTATGTTTTTTAAATATATATAATTTTAATTTTTAAATTTTAAATAAAATTTTTAAACTTACCAAATTGTGACACGAGTCACTTAACGAGGGAAATTAACAACGTTAATGACTCGGGCACCTAAAGTAGTAACATTTGTAACGTTAGGCACCGGGATGAGTTAAAAAATAGTTTAGTCACCTATTCGGTAAAAGCAATATAGTTTGGGCACTTATGTTGGTATTAAGCCTTAATTTTAAAACTTTAACTTTTAATGTTTCAATTTCAATTCATCTTAGAAATAATATACTATACTATCTCTAGCGAAACTTTATAATTGAAATCAGTTCAATGGAGAAGGAAGAAAATACATGAAAAATATAAAATTACATTACGACGCATTCATTATAATCTATTATGTTGCTTTCACTTTTCCCATGTCAGCCATAGCAAATTCTAACTTCATAGATCTCTTGAACTCCATTAGTAGCTCATCATCATTCCCTGTATAAATCAAATCATCGACATACAAGCTAACAACTATATTGTTTAATTCTCCATGTAAGAAGACAGATTTGACATCCAATTGGTAGATGGACCATCCATGATAAGAGCCACAGTAATGACTGATCGAATGGTCACCGTATGAGCAACGGGAAAAAACACCACTGTGTAATCAACACCATATTCTTAAGTGTATCTTCAAACCACCAATCAAGCTTTATGTTTGTTGACGTATCCATTCTCATCACGCTTAGTTTTGAAGATTCATTTGACACCAATCGTTTTAGCATCAATCGGAAGGTTGGTTAAAAACCATGTTCCATTTTTTTATAGTATCAATTTCTTCTTGCATGGCTTTCCTCTAGATTGAATTCTTTTCAGCTTCTTCATAATGAACAAGATAATATCCTCCACCGGTGAGATTTTTATAATCAAAATCATCATTAGATAACTCTTCTTCAGTTACATAATCTTGCATCCAAGAAGGTTGAGTGCGCTGTCGTCTTGGAAATAATTATTCTAAAGTTTCTTTTTGCTGGACAACTTCATCTTGTTTTTAAAAAGCCTTTACCATCATCCTATTCATTGATGTTATCATCATCTGCTTCATTATTGCTTGCATTGTCATTCCAATCCAATTCAGATTGTATAGAGTTGTTGAATTCTTCACTCAAATTCCAGCTGCGATCCTCTTCAAATACAACATCACGACTAATAATGATTATTTTATTAATGGGATCGTAGAGTCTATATGCTTTTGATTATTCACTAACTCCCAAAAAAACATAGGCAACATTGTGTTTATCCAATTTAATCTGGTAGGTATCTCCTACGTGCAAATGAGGCACACAACCAAACACTCTGAAATACGCAATAGAAGGTCTTTGTGCACTCTAAGCTTCCTCTGGTGTCATGTTTTGTACAGTTACCATTGGACTTCTATTTATAACATGAACAATCCAATTAACCGCTTCTGGCCAAAAAATTTTAGGAACACCTCTGGCGATTATCATGCTTCAAACCATATTCATAATGGTACAATTTTTTTGCTCAGCAACACCATTTTTTTTGTGGTGAATATGGAGCGGTAAGTTGCCTCTTTATCCCATTTTCAACACAAAAAGTTGAGAATTCAGATGAATTGAATTCACCTCCACAATCTGTTCAAAGACCTTAAATTTGTAGGCCAACTTCACGTTCAACTTTGACTTAAAACAACTTGAAGAACTTTAATGCTTCTGATTTTTCATGCAAAAAATAAATCCATGTTTTGCGACTATAGTCATCGATGAACGTGATAAAGTACCTCTTCTTGGTGTTGGAAATTAGTTTAATAGGACCACATAGATCAGAATAAATGAACACAAATTGCTGTTCAGCTATCCATTAACTCTTTTTTGGAAAAAGGATCTCGTTGTTGCTTCCCATAAAGACATTTTGTGCACACTTTAGTTGGTTTTACCAGCTGCAGCAACCAAAATACCATCTCTTTTTGCTTCAGAGTGTTGAGTCCATTGAAACTCAAATGACCATAGCCACAATGCCATAATTGACTAAACATCATCTGTTGTCAATTTGAAGAAAGTTGTACCAGATGATAAAGGTACTGATGCAACTTTAAACTTGCTATTGGAAGACATGATAAATTCCATGATAACACCCTTTTCAGGATGATAAACTTTGCAAAAGTTGTGATGAATTAAAACAACAAAGCCCTTCTCTTGAAGCTATCCAATACTTAACAAATTATTTATCAAATTTGGCACATAGAGAACTTCAGTTATCACCTGTATTTTGTTGTTAATTTGCAGTCGTACGTTTTCTTTCCCCTTCATCACCAAGCTTGCATTATTTCCAAGCTTCTCACTATCAACAAATTGCTCATTTAGATCTGAAAAATATTCTTTTTACTACACATGTGATTGTTGCATCCAGAGTCCAAAAACCATTCATCACTCTTGAGTAGTTCATCGCCAACCCAAGCCATGAGCAATATTTATTCAGAAAACTCTGTATAGTTGCTTTCCTTGCTTTCACAATCCCAATGAAAGTGCACAAGTCTATGACAATTAGAGCACTTAATAGTGTATTTATCAAAGTTTGTCCTTCCATGTGCTCGTCCTCGATATCCACCACGAGCTTATCCTTGATTAGAAGATTTGCCATAATTTACCTTCAAAGCTTGTTCCTCTTCGGGTTCCATTATTATTTGTTCATGCACTAACAAACTGCTTTGTAGTTCATCTATGGATAAGTTTCGAGGGCATAGAACACAATACCTTTTCTACTATCTCTGTGTCGATTTTATGTTCACCATTAGCCTTCATCTTATTTGTAATCATAAGCGTTAATGTGAAATAATCTTTCATAGTTTCGTTTGTTTTCATTTGGAGTGTCTCAAAATCTTTCCTCGATGCATGTAATTGTGCTCACTTAACTTGTGTTGAGCCTTGATACTTTTTCTTCATAGAGTCTAATATGTCTTTGGATGTTTCATTCTTGAGAATTTTCTCTAAAACGGATCGACCCAAGACCTAAAAAAGATAATTCTTCACCTTCAAATCCTTAAGCTTATGCTCATCAATGAGACGTTGTTGCACCTCAGTAATCGTTGTTCCAACATATGCAACGAAAAATCCATTTTCTATTAAATTCCAGTACTCTTTTGAACGCATCCCAATGATCATTGTGACCATCAAACTTTGGAATTTATGATTGCATAAATTTATTTTCTGTCGTTATCTCTCGTTCTTATTTTAGCTGCAGGCCCGCAGCTATGATTTTTCAAGGTAAACCTAGCTCTGATACTAGAATGTTATAAAGAAACTCTAATGGTGGAAAATATAAGATGAAGGAACTCAAGTATTTTATTTATGTGCTTAACAAATGTATATAGTCCAACTTACAAAAAGAAATATCCAAAAGATAACTAAACAAATTAAGTTCTTGATATCCAACAACTACTTAATTAAGAATATAATCCCTCAAAAATAATTACTAACAACATTTAGTATTATAATAATGGCTAGAGACTTATTCAAACATATTTAATAAATAACATGTTATATAAGGAATTCAAACATATCTAATAATGGCTTGAGTTAGATGTTTCCCAAGAATATTACCAATATGGTAATAATAACAAGCAATGACAACTCTCTTGTCATTATTGCGTACAACTTTACCACATCCAAATTGAGTTGAATTAATCCAAATTACCTGAATATAATGGATGCGTACCTTGGCTGGAGCACAAACACCAGATTCCAAGTAGTAATCTTACTTCCATCCACCCATAGTCGGATAGCTTTAGTGGTTGAAATATCATTGTCGCTGCTCCAAAGAGAATATTCTCACCCGAAATGGAAAACTGCACGCTCGAGAGCGCGCATATTGATTTTTCCTTGGGAGTAATTGAGTACAAAGGCCTCCAACACGTTGTCCCATCTCATGTGGGAACGTCAACTTATTTTCGAGCAGTATTGTGAGCATTGATGAACTCTTTTCCTAAGTCTTGGAAACTAACTCGATAAACCAGCACGGTTAAAGCTTGAATCCAAAGAACTAGTGAGATTTGAAACATGTTTGGATTTCAATATAGGAAATTGTTAAAACTTACACATTTAAGTTGAGAGTATTGAAGTTGGAGCCTATTTAAGGAAATAAACAGTTTCAGTTGTTATACGTCAATTTAAAGAATACTTTGGCGTTATTATTTGAAACCCCCCAAAAAATTATTTATTGGGAAAATAACACATAAACGAGATTAATTAAAAAAATACCCCCAAATTGCCCACGTAGGGCTGCCTCGCGTTCTCCAAAACGCATTTAAAAGAATCTCGCTTTCTTTAGAATGCAGGATCTAATATTAAATTTGGGGTGAAAACCTCGCGCTATGCAAAACGCGAGGTCAACGATAATGAAATTTATCATCAGGTTATATAAAAACAAACTCACTTTATAAAAAAAATAAGATCATTGACAACTCACATGTAAAGCACATAAAAAATCCATTGTAATTAAATTTGAAAAAAAAAATAGACTATAGGGACTAGAGATGTTTAGCTATATGAGTTGAAAGTCTTACCGATGTTAGTTTATATAGGTATAATAGAGTGTTTACACTATGTTTATTAGCAATGTAGGATAAAAGCTAACATAAGTTTTTCTATCTTTTTCTCATGTAATTTTTAGTTTTTTATTTTTACTTATTCCATTAAAATTTATTATTAAATTATTTATGAACTAAAATTAAATATTTTGATAAAATTATTTTATTTAAAGCTATTTTTTATTAAAATATATATGAACTAAAATTAAATATTTTTTTATAAACTTATTCTCATTAAAAGTTAATTTTTATTAACATTAAAGATACAAGAAATTTCATGAAAGAATTTGTCAAAATTTTTATTAAAAGTTATTTTTTAGTAACATAAATGTTAGCAAATTCTTTCATGAAATTTTTGACTATCTTAATGTTAATAAAAATTAACTTTTAATATAAATTAATTTATCAAAATATTTAATTTTAGTTCATATATGGGTTAAGTAAAAATATAAAACTAAAAATTATATGTGAAAAAGCTAGAAGAACTCATGTTAGCTTTTATCCCATATTGCAAACAAACATAACATAAATACTCCACTATGCCTATATAAACTAACACCATTACGTTTTTCAACTCATGGAGCTAAAATGTATTAAATTACATCTTTGGCCTCTATAGTATTATTTTTCTCAAATTTCGCATTAAACTTGCATTTTGCATAATGCAAGGTCTTTTTCCAAAGTTAAATTGGATATCCTATTATGTAGAAAGCGAGGTCCTTTAATCTTATTTTGCAGAACATGAGGTAGTCTTACATGGGTAGTTTGGGGGTATTTTCCAAATAATGTTTTATATAGGTTATTTTCCTAATAAATGGATTTTTGGGGTTTTAAACTAATAATGTAACACTCCAAATTGATACGAGTGACCCAATCCAATTTGAGGATTCACATCAGGGCCATCGAAGCGACTCACAATAAAATCCAGGAAAAATTAACATTTTTATTAAACCTTGTAAAACTATAAAATAATTTTATACATAAAATCATTCTATTGTTACAATAGAATTCAATAACATGCAACATCAAAACAAGTTTCAGACATTGATATAAAAATAAATGTGACATGCATGCCCCCTAGTTAAACATGCATCGTACTCTGCAAGCAACGTTGAAAGAACCCCCATTTCAGATGTCGATACGACTCAAGATCAACTCCTTTAACCTGAGATAGTGAGTAACAGAGTGAACTTTGGGAAAGCTCAATAATACATAACTATCAGATGATGCTAGAGGACAAGTAGAAATATGGCAAAGCATAAAGCTTTTCTTATTCATCCTAGCATATACAAGTTTCAGTGATGAGTTAAGGTTTATTAATTAATTCTTCAAGTAACAGTCAGAAAACTCACAGTGCAGAGGAAGCGTTCAGAGACAAATTCAAGAGATTGAAAAGAGGGTGTCTAGTATGCTCCCATAAAACAAGAAATGAGCATGCAAGTAGTATAAAAACATTAGTAGTTTATTTCAGAAAACATATTTTAAAATATCAATAATAATCTCCAACCGAACATCAATATGCAATTCCTCAAAACTGTATCCATAAGGACTTACCCTAGGTCTATTGGGCTTAAGAGCCAACCTAAGAGAGTACATTGGTGCGTATGGGCCTACCCAAGGGTCACCTTAAGGAATTTTTAGCTTGATTAGAGCTGAACCTACATAACTCCATAATACATCCCAAAACGTACTTCGATATAAATCAAATTAAGCGATAAACTGTAATACCATAATTGTGGGCTAGTAAAATATCGTGAAAATGACAGTGATATTTATTTAAATCACATAACTACCCTTTACCTGTACACTGAAATGTATTACCCCAGAACTGCATCTATAAGGACTTACCCTATACCAATAGGGTATAAGAGGCAACCTAAGAGAGTACTTTGGAGCCTATAGGCCTACGCAAGGATAACCTTAGGTCTGTAAAGAATTGCCGACTTGATCGGAGCTGAACCTTAAATCTTCATAATCCTACCCTGACGATCCCCTAATAAAATAATTTGGATAGTAAAAAGTAATTCCATGATCCATAAATTAGGCATATTTATATTTTTTTTAGTAAAAAAAAATCATAAGACATATATTAGGTAAACATAGTTTGAAAATTAGTAAATCAGGGCATTAAAATTTTTCATAAGATAATTTATTCATAAATCAAATAAAATAAAACAGTCATATAGCACACTAGGAACACACTAGAAGATTCAGTTATTTTTTAAAGGCACTTGATAGTTATCAGGAAGGTAAAACTTGGAACTTCTATAGATTGATTGGATTTCATATACGAGGCCTTTATTGAGAGGGTCCAATTACTATTATATTTAATCAAACATATAGAAATTGATTCTTTAGAGCCATTTAGGATTCGGGTGCATCAGAAAAGTATTTAGGAACCTTTACATCAAAATAATTTAATATTCAAATATACTAGGAGTGATTCCATTATTCAGGCTATCAGGGGCATTTCGAGCATTTTGAACCCTAAAGCATTCTTAGTAATTTAATCCAATAAGATAAAAATAATGATTTACAGTATTCAAGGTTTATGTCGAATTATCAAGATACCGAATCAAATCGAACTAAACATATCCTAGCACAACGATATTTGTCAATCATTCAGACATAGATGCTTCACGAATATCTATTTTTTAATACTGACTACACTAGTTAAATTGAATATCTTTAGAATCCTCATTGAACGGGTCTTCAAGAGATGAACATGTATTTTGGTGGTATTCATTTTGATTTTGTAGTGCCACAATATCAAGAGTGACTTATGTACTTAAGTCGTGCTCCATAACCTTTAGAGGTGGTATAATATTTAGGTTTATCGGTGTTTCCAAAATTTATCCAATAACATTCACTTGTTTCTAGGTTATAAGGGTATTTAGATCATTTCATTACTCGAGGTTATTTTAATTATTTTGGAGCTTGAGAGTATTTCGGTTACTTTATTTGGTTCCAACATATGCATATTCCCAGTAATTTGGTCTTCTGTTTTTTATTCCAGAAATCAAAAATTCTAAGTCTTTTACTCTCTCGGAGGTTAGAAATCGTTACTATAGTTTTTCCAACATATCATGAATTAATGGGTCAGATACTAGTACTCATATCAATCTCACTATCCAGATCAATTCATGTCTATTTTTTCTTTTTAAGGGTGCTTTCCTAAGTTTCTATCCAAGCATTTTGACATTAAGACATTTAATGGAAAGATCAGAACTTAAGAATTCTAAGATTAATGGATTTATCAATAAATCACTGAACTTAAAATTATTTCTTATCGGCCTTCTAACTCCTTACGTGAGTTAATCAAATCTTAGCTAATTTACTATCCTTCTTCCATGTTCAATACTAGTTATAGAATAATCATTGATAACCACATGACCAATCATTTCTATTCATGCATTTACCAGTCACTAACTAGTTCCGTAAAGCATACAAAATGTAGTGCTATATTACATTGATTTCTTAGCTATATTAGTCAAACATTTAAACTTCGCTTGATCACTCTCAATCTTGAAGTCGATGTCTCAAAATATCTCGGATACAACAAAAGAATTTACATAAGAAATGAAACTTAATTGGGAAAAGGGGAATAACTTACCAGGTTCGAATTTGGTGAAACATACCTCAAAAACAAATTCAGAACATAAAAAATAATAGGATAGGTGGTTCTGAAAAAAGTTAATGGACGATTAACGGTAGTCAACGACCAGTCAATGGCTGGTCAACAGTTGGACGACTCGGCTCGGCTTGCGGCTCGACTCACGGCTTGACTTGACTACAGCTTGACTCATGGCTCGGCTCACGACTCGACTCACAATTCAACTCGGCTCGACGCAAATTGATTCAAATGGTCCAGGCCAATTCGATCGATTTAACAGGCTTCCCTGGCTTGAAGACAATGCCTAAGCGTAGGGGCGACGCGTGGGGCGCGTGCAATGTCTCTAGTCATCGGAACGACACCAAGTTTTCTAGATTAAAAAATCGTGTAATTCTAAACTCAGTGCTAAGCGTGGTTTGTAACGTCGAACGACGGAAATATGGTATCTTAAACGATCGAAACTCTTCGTCACTCACCCTTACGATAATGATGACAATCATGATGGTGACAAGCTAAACCGATTGGGTTTAGACCGGAATGACTCAACGGTTCCA